TTACATCCAGAATGGTGAGAAGTAAATTTCTGTTGTTTATAAGCCATCCAGTCCAAGGTATTTTGTTAGAGCAGCCTGAATTGACTCAAGATGCATAGCATCTCTATGTTGCCAAATTCCCACCTAAGATTTTTATTACTCCTGAAAAAGAAGAATATAGACGTTCAGTGAGAACTTCCAATCTTAGCCATGGTTAAGACCGTCATAAATACTTGAGCTAAGATTTTTTTGGGGGGGGGTGGGTAGGGCCAGTGTTAAGATGAGAGCTTATTCTTAAAATGATGAAGGCTATGAAGAATTCAGTTTAAATAATTTAAACATGTAATATTGCCATGTTCTTGAGGAACTCATAGCCTCATGGAAGGAGACAGGAATATAAACAATTATTTCAACATAAAATAAGATTCAAGATGGACACAGAATGGTATAAGAAGACAAGCATGGGAAAATGGATACAGACACGAGCTCTTTGAAGAATCCCTCACCAAACACCAATGATGAATTAAATCTCAAAAGAATAAACATATATGGGAATAAATATAAAGAGCTCCAATATTAAGCATTAAATCCATTTTCCTATGATACCCCATAATTAATAATTGTCATTATTTCTGCCAGTATAGTGGTAAAGTTATAAGTAGTCCTGCCAATATTCTCAGTGCCATCTTCATTGGACTAGAATTACCCCCTCAAACAAAACAAAACAACAAAACAAAAAACTGTAACACATTTCAGTTTTGCTTACTCTTGTGCCAAAGCATTCCAGGGACTGGCATATTTCTCTCCTTTCAAAGAGAAACAGTTGAGAGTTTGTTTGCTTGCTTAGACCCTCCATGCGTAAAACCACACTTAGGGAAATAATCAATGAAATCACCTCGACTCACTGGCTCTTGAGCCCATCTAATACAGGTCTCATTTTTCTGCAGTGGCCTCCCCCAAACCCAAGTACTTATAAAGGTCCCCAGGGTGTCTCTCCCAAACAAGAGTCAGTTAACTTACACGAACAGTCATTTTGTTTCCATGCCTCTTCCTCTAAACCTTGTCCACACTGCATGTCCCCTTCCCTCTCCAGACAGATGTAGTCAGTGAGACACTAAGGCCACTTCCACTGGTGTAGCTGTCAGGCTCGCCTACTGCTCACACTTGATGTGTCCAATGCAGGGGAGCCCTCAGTGTGCCAATTGTGTGCCAACTGTCCTTTTACAAGCTTACCAATTCATTACTGCTGTCTTAAGCAAGTTTTTATGATCTTTCATAAAAGGTTTAGATTTTACTTCATGTTGGTCTTCACTAACCAACTCTGTCCCCTGTATTGAAATGTGGGTCTGTGGGGCCTGATGTAACGGCAAATCTGAGTTGAGGACCTCACGTGGCACACAGAATCACCCCTCCGCTCCTATAGACTTGACCCCTATTCCCTTTTTCTGGGGCATGTTTCTCTCCAGAGAAAAAGAAAGTTTTTTTTTTCCCCAAGATTTCTTCTTCACTATCCCAGTAAACTTCTTAAAGACCTACCCTTGTAGCACACAGAAGAGCACTGAAATGTCTTGGTTTCACTTGAGTTCCAAGTGGGACACCTTCCAACACCAAGTTAAGGAAGGAGAAGGTGCATATTAAACTATACTGTTTTTGGTGAAAAAAAAATTAAACTATACTTCCTGTATTTTGATATTTCCTCTGAGTCATAGCCACCCCCATTTCCAACCTGGTCATAGATGGAAAGTTTCATTTGAAATTCTGATGCTCATCTTTGTGTTATTTTGCCATGGAATAGTCATCCCAAGAAGGAACTTAGTCAATAGAACTATCTCCTTTGTCCATAATCTGGTTGCCTTTCCTGTAACTGCTTTCTATTTTAACCCCAGGAAATTGTGTGTGTGTGTGTGTGTGTGTATGCAGGCATTTGCACACAATTCCTGTTGGACAGGAAGAGGAAACAGAAAGCCTCTTTTGTATTGGGTGAGAAGGAGAAGAAAGGAAGCGAAGGTTACACCATCAGATGAGAGTATTCAGGCACAAGAAGAGAAAATACAATTTATTTAGGTGAGCCAGCAAAGGCAAGGGGAGGCATGAAAGAAGTGAATTTCAAAAAGCCTTTTTTTCAATTAAATTTTTTTCCTATTGATGGACCCTTTGGCGGCTGGTACTGACTTAAGTAGCTCTCCTGAGATGATCGAAGATTGTCTTTGATTTCAGCTAAAGCTGTTGCTATCCGGCTTTTGACTGGAGCCTGCCCTAGTATCCCTGATGCTAATTTGAGTGGTGAGGACTTTAGAATAAATCCACATTAGTTTAACAACATGGATTCATGACTTTTACTAGTGGCATAATTCATGCTGACAAATAAAAATGACTTCATTTGTTTAGATGATTTTAGAAGTGACTTATCAGGAGAGGCAACCCTGACTCCCAAGGGTAGCCATTATCATTGTACCCAAATGGCAACAGATGCAGACAGTAAATTGCAAACAGTGACTTTGCAATTAACTGTGAGCTTTTAGAGCCCAGCATCTGCAGACACACTTGCACTTCTGCCTCACATTCTTCCCAAGGAGATATTCCATGGTTCAATTAGCTGATCAGAACAACAGAAGCCTTAGCTGAAAGGAAGTAAATAATGATTTAAATCGCCTTACTCCTGGTGAGGAAGAAAAGCACTGTTATTAATGAATTCAGCATTTAGAGCTGAATATATAATGTCCTTTCATGGCAACAAAGAACAATAAAAGCAGTTTTACCTGTTCCTGAAAGCTTTGCTTTTTTTCCTCCTCTGAGGATTATAACAGATTGTACAGGATGTTTTACCAGATGGGGGAATCTGAATCCTTCAAACAGGGAGGAGAGATAATGGTCTCTGAATTTCACCAACGATCTATATTCCCCAAATAGAATTAGAACTGCTTCCTATGTCGAAAAATGTTTGCTGAACAGAAATTTTATTACCTGAGTATTGAATTCAGTGGTACCAAGGGCATTCCTTTGGAGACAAAGGTCTTCCTGCCCACAAGGTTTGGTTTCTGTTCTTTGACTAAATTGAAGTGAATTAAACTATACTTTGGAAATTCTGTTCGATTTTTTTTATAGGTTTGATATGTTAGTCTTTTTTCTTTTTTAGTTCCAGTTGAGCCATTTCTTTTGGGGTATCAGTGCTTCAGTATGTATTTTCCCTTTTTTACCCGTTTCTAAGCAGACTTACTAAAGGTTCATCATGAGAAGGAACATGGGGTCGGGGAGCAGCATAAACACAATAAAGAAGGTTCATCCCTTAGACTCTTATTTTCACCCTGACTTTGGCAGTACTTCCAACACCACCTTTTCATTATAGTCTCAAGGTATTTTGGCACCTTAAAAAGTAAATAAAAACAAGCAACATTTGGAGAATGAGCTCAGGAGGCACAAGTTCAGTGCTTGTTCCACCTTCTGGGGACTTCTGCCCTTTTCCTGCCCCTGCTGGGCAAGCAAAACCACTGTCCATCCATCTTTTCCTTAGCATAAGTTTAGTGACTAGATAAGTGGTATGATTTATGCTCATTCTGATTTTGTTTTCATAAGTAATTTCTCTCTAGAGATATCGATTTCAAACTGCTAAGGGGAAGGGAACAATTACTCAAGAAGGAATTAACATTAGATATGCATGCTGTGGATAAAATACTAACTGAATTCATACGAAACATACTGAAACATAAAACTGAAACTAACTGAAACATACGAAATCTGTGTTCAACCAATGACAGATTTCTGCTATTCCTTTAACTGCCTGTGACTTCTGTCCTTTGAGTCTCCATATTTGCATCCCACTCCTTGCCTTTTTTAAAAAAATATTTTTTGTAGTTGTAGATGGACAGAATGTCTTTATTTTATTTGTTTATTTCTATGTGGTGCTGAGGATCAAACCCAGTGCCTCACACATGCTAGGCAAGCACTCTGCCACTGAGCTATAGCCCCAGCCTGACTTTGTTGTTCATCTAAGTGAACAGGATATTTTTTCTTATCGAGTTTTTACTTATGAAAATGCTTGTTTCCAGAGTTTTTCAAAATTCCCTCCAGAGAGCAAAAGCCAGTCATCTGCACCACCCTGTGAATTTTACTGTCGTCTTTTTCTCTTTTCTGTGTTTTCCTGTTTCTTTTACTGTGCTTTGGTCCCCTTTTCTCCTGTACACTCTGTTCTCTTGTAGACTGCTGCTCCTTCCACGGCTGTCTTGCCTGCATCCTCAGCAGCTCTCCACCTAGGTGCTGTACTGCTTAGGTAATATTCTTACAATGGGGTGAGTCTTCTCAGCCATTTCAGCAGGTGGAGCTACACATTGCTTCAACATAAAACCTAACCCCAGCAATGTAGGGGGGGCGGGGGGGGGAGGAGCCTCTGTAGTTTGGTTGGATAAAGTATATTTTTCAAAAATTTTAAAACAAGTCTCATTCATAGAATGGGCTGCATCAAACAATTTCTGAGCTGGGGCTCACATAGATCTTTCTTTGACAACTTCTCATGTATGAAAGCCCATGCTGGGTACAAGGTCCCAAGGGAAGCCTGCATATTGGCCCCTTAAAAAAAGAAAGAAAGAAAGAAAAAACAACAGAGACCTCTGAAGGTGACAGATGGAAGGAAAGCCTTATTTTTATAGGATCTGCAAAATCCTTCTGGTCTGAAAGCCTGAGCGTGCTATACCTAGCAGAGCCAGACTCACAGCAGGAACTCAACAAATATTGATTTCCATGCGCCAAATGAGCCCAAGGGCACTTAGCTGTGACTTCCAGACACATTACACTGCTTTCCCTCTGGCAACAGAAGAGGCTGAACACAGGAACGAAGGAAATTTTGCATCCCTGTTTTCTGAGGTGAATTCTACTGTGAGCACTTTGGGAAGGAGGGAGGAGGGGTATAAAGTAGGCTCCCTTCTGGGATTTGGTGCTGAAATATATAAGCCAAAAGATAGCTACAAAATATAAAACTCTATAAGAAGAAGATAAAAAATAAACTTCAAACAAAACAAAATACGTACCACAACAGAGGTGAGGTCTGGTCCCAGAACTGGTAATGTCTGTGAGTTTCCTGGTACTGCAATATGGTTCCAGAATGGAATTTTGCCAAATCTATGCTGGAAGAGGACTCTGTAGCACCCCAGAAGCCAGGAGTGGCCTGGTGCAAATAAAACAATAAAGCAAATAGCTGTGATACTTTGGTCTTTGCAGCACAGCATACAGATTAAGAATATGGTCTTTGGAACGAGACAGCCCAAGTTCAAATTCCAGTGCTTTCATTAAGATCTGGAACCAGAATGCCCAGTTTAGAATTCTGGCTCTGCTACTTATTAACCCCGTGATCTTGGGCAAGTTCCTTCACATTTATGTGCCTCTGATTGCTCAGCTGTAAAATGGGGATAATCCATGACTATTTCTTTGGCTTGTTTGTGAGAATAACATGAGTTAATGCATGTGAGGCACTTAGAGGCTGCAAGATTGAGGCCACTGATAGAGAGACAGGGACTGAGATGCCCTTGGAATGCTTTTCCGTTTCCAGGTGCCATAAGTTTTTTAAAATTCTGCTCTTCACCCTTAACATTTTTAATTTGTAACTGACTTACGTGTGCAGTGTGAGCCAACATTTTTCTCCACTTGGATTATTAATTGTGTGAGCACTGCTTATTGAATATTGGATCCTTTTCCAACTGAATTACAGTATGTCTTCTATAATAGGTCTGCACATGTCCACATGTATGTCTCTGCCCAAGATTTTTTGTTTTTTCATTATTTGTTTCATTGATTATCTCTATTCCTTTACCAACATCAAATTGTCCTAATGATATGGATTTACAATAATTTTGATATCGGGAAGTACAGATTGTATAAGTTTTTTTTTTGTTGTTCTTTTTTTCTAGAAGTGTCTTAACTATGCTTGGCTCCTTGTTCTTTGGGGTAGCTGAAAATAAGGCTGCCAACCCTTTGACATTTCTCATGTAGGGAGAGGGCCAGTGTCTCTTCCCCTTGTCATGAACCATTAGTTTTGATGTATTGATTTAAATGTTCACAAACCCAATTGTTATAGACTGAATTAATCCGAAATTCATAGGTTGAATCCTTAGTCCCCACTGTGAACTACATTTGAAGATAGGGCCTTTAAGGAGATACCCAAGGCTGGTTGTTAGTGTGGGTCCTTAAACTGATAGGACTAGTGTCCTTTTAAGAAGAGAAACATCAGTGGTAACCTTGTGCATATTCTCTACCCCCACCCCCACCCCCCCACAGACACACACAGAGGAAAGCCATGTGAAGACAGCCACCTGCTAGGCAGAAAGAGAAACCACACCAGAAACCAATACTGCCAGAAACTTGATCTTGGAATTCCAATTCCAAAACTGCAAAAAAAAATTCTGTTGTTTAAGCTACCTTGTGTGTCCAATTCTGTAATGGTGGCCCATACAGATTCATAAACCACACATGCAAAGTGTGATCCTGGACTACAAAAAAAGATACTTCTGGGACTACTGGTAAAATTTGGATAAGGTAAGTAAATTAATTATTAGTACTGTATTTGTTAGAGTCTGTAAACAAGTCAGGATGGCGCCTGGCAAAATGCCAGAGGGAGTGGTTTGTGAAGTAATGCCAGTGAGCCATTAAGTGTGGAGATTCCTTATTGGTTGACTGATGTATCTAGTTTATGTTAATTAGATAAGCTGTGTGGAATGTATAAATACTGCTCCTGTCCTACAATAAACGGCTCCCATTCCTGCTGTATCAACGTACACAAGTTGTTTGTCACCCCCTGGTTATTTTGCTGCAGCCGGACTGCAGCATGTATTGATATTCATTTCCTGGTTTGATGATTGTACAATTATGACTATATAAAATGTTAATATTTAGGGGAGCTTAAGAACTTTCAACTCTGATTGTTTTCCTCTTGATGTTCATGGTTTTTGTCCATTATTTTGTCTTTTTCAAAATACCTTACAAATTAGATAATGTTATTATTGTCATTTGTAGACAATATTTATTTAGATTTATCTAGATAATTACCAGTTTCTTTGTTTGCTATTCCTTCTTTCATCTTAAAGTTTCCTTCCAGAATCATTTTCTTCTTCCTAAAGAACATCTGATAAAAATTCATTAAGTGTAGATCACTCTTGCCCAGTTTTGATCATTGTTGTTATTATTTCATCCTCATTCTTGAAAGATAGTTTTCCTGGATCTACATTTGCACATTAGTAATTACTTTCTCTTGACACTAAAAAAATCTTCTACCATCTCCTGGTTTTGGTTTTATCGTTGAGATGTCTGCTGTCAGGTTATTTGTCTTTTTTTTTTTTTTTGCAGATTATCTATCTTTTCTCTCAGAGTGTTTTATGATCTTTTTGTCCCTGTTGCTCTGCAGTTTTATTTCATGTGAACTTTAAGTTTATCCTGTTTAATTTAAACTGCACCTTCTGTATCTACGTGCTATAGTTTGGATCTAGAATGTGCTCCAAAGGTCCATGTTTATAAAGGCTTGACCCCCCAGGGTGGTGCTACTAGAAGACGGTGAAACCTTAAAAGGTAGGGCCTTAGTGGAAGGAATGTAGTTCATTGCGGGTGTGCTCTTGAAGGGGACTGTTGACCCTGGCCCTCTCCTCGTTTTTTCTTTTGCTTCCTTTGCCATGAGGTGAGGGGTTTTTCTCCACCACATGTGCTGGCCATCATGTGCTGCGCCACCATAGGCAATAGGCCAACTGATCCTGGTGAACTGGAACTCCCAAAACTGTAAGCCAAAATAAATCTTTTCTTTTTATGAGTTGATTATCTCATTGTTTTATCATATTGATGAAAAAGCTGTTTAGCACACTATGCAGCCTATCATTTTCTGAAAAATTTTTCAGCCATTGTTTCTTCAAAAATCACCTTTCATTCTTTATTTTCATCTTCCGGAATTTCAAGTGGATCTCCTTCTATGTTGCACGTATCTTACCTTCTCTTTCATTTTTTCTTCTATCTCTTGTGTTGCATTTTTTCTATTTCTGATCTGTTTCAGTTTATTAATTTTTTTTTCTGCTGTGTGTAGTCTTCTCTTTAGCCTATTTGTTTTGAATTTTTTAATTGCAACAATTATGGGTTTCATGTTATTTGGTTCTTCTTCAAATCACTTTTGTAGATTTAGTTCTTGTTCACATTCATTACTACTTTATTATGTCTTCAAATATTTTAATTTATGGCACTTATATTACATGTCTGATATTATTCAATATACATAGTCCTTAGGTCTAATGTGTCTGTTGCTACTGCTGACTCTGACTTTGGTTGTTTCAGGGTTTGATGAACTTTATTGTGAGATAATACATGAGAGCATGTTTGATGACGATTTCCTTCAGAGAGGATTTGTGATGTTTTGCGGTGACATGGGAGATACTTGATCTGACATCATCCATATTCCCTCTAGGGGTCTTAGTTTGTTCTAAAGTTCTCAGCTCACTCTCCTTTATAAGCCAAGACAGCTCTGCTGCAGTACTGATAGTGGCATTTACTTCAGGGTATCTATCTTCTCTTCCTATATTAGAGCTTCATAATCCTGTTTTTGCCCCTGGTATTTCCCCCACCTCATCATCTACAAACCCTACAAGATCCATTTTTTTAATGTAGGATCTATTTGTTTCATAGAGGGAAGTTCCCTTAGAAAACAGAGTTCCTTCATTTTATTCAAAGCACTTATTACTGTTCAACCGTATATGATTAGTTGTTGTTTTATCATTATTCTCTCTTAGCAGAATGTAAACTTCCTGAGAAAAAGGACTTTGGTTTGCTCCTATATCTTCAGTGACTAGAATATGGGGCTTTGTACACAGTGGAACCTGGAATAACATTAATAAACATTTCACAAACATTAAAATGAATGAATTCATGCATAATGCATTCGTATCAACTATTACATTTGCTTCTCTAGATACAAAGATGACTCTGACATAGTTTTTTCCCTTGAAGTATTTACTAGAATTAGTGGAATAAGAAGGATACAAAATAAATAAATAAACTACTTACTATAATTTGAATGTTTGTGCCCCACCTCTCAAATTCACATGCTGAAATTGATGTATAGTATTATAGCCTTTTGGTAGATGATTATATCAGGAGGGAATAGAATTAATACTTTTATAACAGAAGCCCAAGAGAGCTTATTTACCTCTTCTATGATGTAAAGACACATAGAAGACACCACCTATGAGGAATAACCCTACCTGACACCAAATTTGAGAGCACCTTGATCTGGGGCATCCCAGACTCCAGAACTACAAGAAATATAATTCTGTCGTTTGTAAACTACACTGTCTAAGATATTTTGTTATAGAATCCCAAACAGAGGCGGGCCTGCGACCCACCTGCAGAACAGGAGCAGCGGCCTGCTGAGAGGCAGAGCCGCTCCCTCCCCCCGCGCCTGCAAGGTAGACGGAACTGTGACCACCCACAGAACAGGCCCAGCGGCCTGCTGAGGGGCAGAGCCGCCCCCCCCCTCGCCTGCAAGGTAGGCGGAACTGTGACCACCAACAGAACAGGCCAGACCTGCAACCGACAGACAGAACAGGCCCAGTGGCCTGCGGAAGGGTAGAGCAGCCCTCCCCCCCGTGCCTCCAAGGTAGGCGGACCTGCGACCCACCAGCAGAACAGCCCCAGAGGCCTGCAGAGGGGCAGTGCCGCTGCCTGCGCCTGCAAAGTAGGCAGAACTGCAACCACCGACAGAACAAGCCTAGCGGCCCGCAGAGGGACAGAGCCGCCGCCCGCGCCTGCAAGGTAGGCGGACCTGCTACCGACCGGCAGAACAGGCCCAGCGGCCTGCCAGCATGGTAGGCACATTGCCCCAATTGGAGGAGGGGCAGAGCCGCCGTCCGCGCCTGTGAGGGAGACTTTGCAACTATACAAGACCAATATAAATATATAGGGGGAAAATTCAATAGCACAACAGTTTCACCAAGCAGAAAGAAACGCGAACAGTATGAAGAGACAAGGAAAGAAAGGACCACAAGCAATGCAGGTCAACTCAACGTTAGAAGAGGTAATATCTGCAGCAGATGGAATGTCAGATAAAAAATTCAGGATATACATGCTTCAGATGATCTGGAGTCTCAAGGAAGACATCAGAGAGCAAAATCAGACAATGAAAGATCACTTCAATAATGAATTACATAAACAAATCCAAGAAGCAAAAGATCAACTATACAGGGAGATAGAGGTTA